AGGCAGAGGGGAGAGGGGCTTCGTCAGAAGTCTACAGCCAAGCCCTGAGTGTTTTGAATCTTCTTATAACCTAACCTTAGGTACCAGGTGTCATTCAATTACAACTTCCTTTCACCTAATATGGTTTCCTTCCTGATCTATCTATGGAGATGCACATATAAAAAAGAGCAAGTAAGCTAGATTCTTAAAAACAGGGCCTATATATTCTATTCATTCTCCCTTGACCTATCTTTCTTGAATGGGTGGGCTAACTGGCACATCTATCACTCAGGATGTTCTCGGCTGTAAACAACAGAAAGCTGAACTTAAAGTGGCTTTAGCAAGAAAATGGATTAGCTCACATATCAAGAATTTTCAACATAAGGCAGGTCTGAGCATAGCATGATCAGGGCTTCCTCTCTGTATCTCCATAAGTCCCTCACTCTGCCATTCTTCACATGCTGCTATTGTCCTCAGGCTGCCTTCCTTCAGGGCCAGTTGTCAACAGTAACAGAGACAACATGCTGCCTTGTTGAGAGAGCCTTTCCTCCAACTATGAAATAACAGTTCTTCTTCTCAGTCTTATTGGGCTTCTGGTCACTTGTTTATCTTTAGACCAATAATAAGTAGCTGCCAGAAGAATGCAATATCCTGATTGGCTTAAGCCTGGATCCCTGAACCAATCACTGGCAAGGAGAGGTGGGACCAGCAAGGCAAGTTTATTTAGATTGATTAGGACCCACTCTTGGAGTGCTAAGTCAGCTTCCCTTGGGTCACTCAGCCTGTAAAATATAAATTCTAATAAAAAAGAGGAAGGACACCTAGGATACCTAGCAGACATCTAAGAATTCATAACTCCTTACATAAGAGCAATAGCCATTATTAATCCCCTTAATTTTCAGTTCTCAGAGGTCCCCCATTTAGGCATTTTCCTTACACTCTCATAGCTCTTCAGTGATGTCCCTCTTTTTGGTTCTCCTCAGGAACTCCTAGTCTGAACTGAATCTTGATTTTCACTGTTTTTTTTTCAAGTGTTCTAGTCTTGTCTCTCAATTAAAATGTAAGCTATCTGACAAAGACAATGCTTTCCAAGGACAGTATGTAATAATTTATAGGTCAAAAACTTTGTCCATGCTGTAGAAACAATATGAGGCATGTACACGCATTTTAGAACAAAAATCCTATCACCTACATACACTCAGGAATAAGGAGCTACAATTCCCTAGCTGCATTTACGCCAGAATTAGCTTCTAATGCTCAGTCCTCATCATGCCATCCTCTGCTCAGCATCCTTCTGTTGCTTGGGCACTGCTCAGGCAGCACTAACAAACTTTCCAGTCTGGTCTTTAGCTTTCCAGATGCTGTGTACGTAGATCCTAAGCAGGCCAAGCAGCATTCACTATCTTTTTCCTGCTTCCATGTCTTTCCCTGCATAATAAAATACTTTCCTTTTCTGCAACTGCTTCTTGAAATCTTCAAGGCTCAGTTCAAATGCCACATCTTTCTTGCAGAACAGGACTGAGGCATAAGAATATGTTTTCAAAATTATGTTCTGTAACTATTTATTCTATATTTATTTTGAGGAGACAGGGAGAATTGATTTTATGTAGATAAATATGAAAATGTCTCTTGATATTTAACATAAGGGATTTATCACATCAATTTACTGTAAGATAATATAACATATTTGGAATTATTTTCATTTTGTAGTTTTTCTAGCTGGATAATCACAGAGGATAATTCAAATAAATACTTGACATGTCACCAAGGATAATTCAGACATGCATCTGACATAAATAATCACAAACACTCAAAATTTTTTTTATTATTGGTATACAATATTATATTAATTCTAGGTATATAGCATTTGACATTTATATACCTTACGATGCAATCACCACAATGTCTGGTAACTATCTGTCACTGTACAAAGTTATTACAACTTTATTGACTATATTCCCTGTACTATACATTACTTCCCCATGGATTATTTATTTCATAACTGGAAGTTTGTACCTCTATTCCCCTTCACCTTTTTCACCCATCTCCCCACCTCTGGCAACCATCAGTTTATTCTCTGTATCTCTGAGTCTGTTTTTGTTTTCTTTTGTTTGTTTGTTTTGTTTTTTTTTAGAGCCCACATATAAGTGAAATCATATGCTATTTGTCTTTGTCTTATTTCACTTAGCATATAACAAACACCATCCATGTTGTCACAAATGGCAAGAATTCATCCTTTTTTATTGTGAATAATATTCCATTGTATATATGTACCACATCTTTATCCATTTGTCTATCGATGGACATCTAGGTATCTTGGCTATTGTAAATAATGCTACAACGAACATAGGAATGCATATATCTTAATGAGTTTATGCCTTCTGAAACCATGCAGACTGTAAATAGAATTTCTCATAATCATTTTCTATAATATATTCAACTAGAGAAACAGCTTTACTGAAATCTTGGGGCAAAGTGATTTCATTGTCTTATCGGTACCTTTTACTTTGTGATATATTCTGACTGCAGTACAATAAGTTAAGTGCGATGAATCAATCAGATCACCGAAATCAGTTTCCACATTAACCCAACATGAGTTAGCCACATACTGGGGTTTCAGTGTTATATAAATATGAAAACAAATCTATTTGTAATTGATTTTCAGGAAATGAATCTTGAAAACAGTTCCCAAAAAAAGCAGAAATAAAAAGCTCACCCTATTCTATATTCTATTTCAAAGCTCAGTTAATCATATTGCTCAAATGACACCTCAATGGGATTTGCTCAGCCCACCCTTTTTAAACTTACAGTTTTTCCCACCTCCACCCTGTGCTACAACCCTGCCCCCCCCACTTACCCTGCTATTTTTTTTTCTTAGCATTTATTATCTCCTAATATGTCACATGACTTACTTATTTTTTAATGTTTACTGTTCTCCTGTCTTCTCTGACTGAAATGAGAGTGCCATAATGTGAAGATGTGATGTGTCCTAATTGCCGAGAATAGTGTCTGGCACATAGTTGGCCCTCAATAAATATGAGTTGAATGAATGGCAGTAGTTACAAGATGTTAAATGAGACATATATGGATCCACTATTCTGCAATTTTGTAGGTGAATTCATTCAGGTAGCCATTTAGCAGCTTCCTAGAAAACCCAAACTTCTGACTGAAGGAGAGAAGAAGTGGCAAAGGGTCAATACAGGGAGGAGACTATTTCTTGCATATTTTGCGTTTTTCTCCCACATGACCTGTGCTGTCTAGCTGAGCCAAAAACAAACAAGATATGCAGGGACTTTCCTAATGAGGCCTCTTGGCTTTGACTTTCTCTCAGTTCTGCTGTCACATTTATTTTTATTGAGTTATAATTCACATACGGTAAAGTTCACTCATTTAAAGTGTACACTTCAGTAGGTTTTAGTCTATTCCTAGAGTTGTGCATCCACTAGTACTATAATCAACTTTAGGACATTTTTATTGTCCCAAGAAGATTCTTCACACTCCTTTGCTGTAACACCCAGTTGCCACACCTCCCCACAACCTCTAGCCTTAGGTAGCCACAAATATACTTTCTGTCTCTATTTTTGCCTATTCTGGACAGTTCATATAAATGGAAGAATATGACATGTGGCTTTTTGTGTCTGGCTTCTTTCTGCTGCCATATTTGATCAGCACTGGGTCCAGAACACTGATGCCAGTTTGCCCAGGTGATACTCTTGCAAGAAATTGATAGGCAGAAATTGAAAATTGATCACAAAATTTCTGGGATGCTTTTAAGTGGGAGTGGAAATAGGGCTGTGTGGAAATAGGCCAGGACACTAGCAAAGATTTCAGTTTTACTGCACAGATATTCTTTCTGTCTGCTCGTCTGTCCCTGTCTCCACCCTTACCTCCCACCAAGGGGCAGGAGAAGTAGATCATCCGAAGTAATTCCAAGTCCCATTTCTGGAGGGCTGCAGAACTTGTAAAGTGCTCTGTGTAGTACTAAATCTATTGTAGACCTAGGTTGGCCCCAGAGACTAAGTAGCCCTAGCCAAGTGCCAGATCATTCTGGGCATTCTTGCTTTGATCCAGCTCAGAGCAGATCTCTGGAAATTGGCCTGGGTGAACCTGGAGACCAGCCCCTCCAGGCTGGGTCCCTCAGGAACAGCTCGGCTGAGCTTTATGCCCATCCAGTGGATGTAATTGATTTGTGTCTCTGGGTGGCTCTCTACTATGTCCCCATGTTTAGGCTAAAACCACCATTCCACGTGTCATGTCCACTAAAAATCTGTTATTTAAAGAGAAATTTCTCTCCCAATCATCAAAAGCTGACTATGGCTGATTCTGTTACTTGAAAGTCAGTGTGTTTTTCCTTAAACACATTTGCCGGGCTTCTGGCAGGGCTATTGTAAACACTTCCCATCATTCCTACATATTTTTAGACCCAAGTTTTGCAGTGCTGGGAGAAACTCAAGGTCTTTGCTCTGCTACTTGTAAAGAACCTGTCTTGCAGCAGGATAGAGCTGATTGCTCTGGTGTCGAGGACTGAACATTGTAAAACCTGCCGAACTGACCATTGTAAAACCTGCCGAACGAGATACTCACCTGACCTGGTGAGGTGCCACACACCGGTATGAGAAGCAGAGAGCAAGCTGTGACTGGGCAGGGATAATCAGAAGGGCAATGTTCAGAACTCTGAATACTGAGTGTACGAGAAGGAAGAGGGCAGGGTGAAGGAAAAACAAAATCAGGCAGGGGTGGGTCTGGCAAAATTCTTCCCCTACTACCCAAGGTAGCTCCCAAGTGCACCACATTGCTCACTGACGGTAGGCAATAGATGGGTGTGAAGGAATGCCTGGCTTCAAAGGATGGCTCAGTCTCTGACTCACACTGGGGCCTTGAGAAGTCGCTCAGTCTCAAGTGACTCTGAAGTTTCTCTGCACCTGGTGGCTTCTTTTGTCACATGTGCAGGAACATGCTGAGGACCTTATAATGGTATTATCATTATTCACTTCTTTTTTCTCCTTTTTTTTTCTTATTTAGGGGAAAGTGCAAATGCAGTCTTCCACTACCACAAATTATGTAGTCGAGTTTCCCACATTTGGGGAAATCGCAGGGGTCGGCACATCCCAAATGGAATGGATATGCCTCACCCTGGGAAAAAAACACCTTTGGGATGATGATATCTCCCCTACCAGGTAAGTATTAGCATTATGCATTTCTATTTCCCTCATTAGACTAATAACTCCTGGAGTACAGGAACCAGACATCCTTTGTCTTTGTACCCCTAGGTACTTATCCCAATATGTACCTAATACATATTAGAAAATGTCATAAATGCTAGTAAAATTGAATAAAATTTTATATAAAGGAGAGAGGGCACGCAGATATTAATTTTTGGAATTCAGTTATGACTTTTTCTTAGAAAAACATTTTATTGTTGTTCTGAAACACTTGGCAATGGAATAACTCTTACAAAAGAGCAGTTTTTATGAGTTAAATGTAGCCGATCCAACCCATATGGATCAAATTTCCTCATAAGTGCTTGAACATGCTTTTAGAAATAGAGCAGAGGTCGGGGTGGGAAGGGAGAAGAGAGTGCTTGGCAGAAGGAATTTTAGAGTTTACTGAGTAGGATTGTAAAAGCGGAAGAAGGCAATTCTGCAGAGTCCGAAGCATGGCTGGATTTTGTCATTGCTAATGAGAAGCAGGTATTGAAAATATGTTACAGATAGTTCAGAATCTCTCCACGAATTGTTTTCTGCTGATCTTTTCTCTCCTTCGTGCCTACTGATGTTTAAATCTTAGTTTAAATTTAAGTTCTACCTCATTGCTTTATCCAAAATGGATTTGAAAAGAAATGTTAGAGCCACTTAGGCTGCAAAGCTTCACCTCAAAGGCTTTCCCCAACAAAGCTGTACCTGTTTTGCAAGCTTGCCTTCCCTCCGCTTCCAAAACATTCTGTTTTGGACTTTCTAACAGCCTGTCTCTAGCTCACAAGGCTGTTTCTAACTGCCTACCAGATATTGGAGAGGGAGATAACAGGTTCTTATAAAATATCAGCCAAAAAGGAAGATACAGACACAGGTCAAGTAAGAGGAAACTACTTCATGTTCATTCTAATGGAGTAAATGGAAATACAACTAGGTCTATTTTATTAACCAATAAAGGTCTGAGGCTATAAAACAACTTAAAAGTTTATTTAGGAGAGGGGTCTTAAAGATTCGAATCCTCAAGACTCCGATTCAGATAGCAACTCAAACTATAATCTGGAGAGAACAAAGAAAGGCAGGGTTTATAAAGGCAAAAACCACAAAGTGTAATTCTGTGGTGCAGATGATGGATGCTGGCTGGGTTAACAGGAATTGGTTAGTTTCAGTATCCAAACCAGGGAGGCAAAAACTACAAGGAGGAGATAAAGCCCACATATTGTCCATGTAGCAATTGTTGTCCAGGATGTTTATGACTCTGTTTTGAGCTGAGTTTAACAACAGATTTAACAACTTAACAGCAGCTCAAAACTAAGGCACAAGATGTACACAGGTCCCACACCCCCCAATAACCTTCTGACTCTATTTTAAGTGATTCTCTTAGTAATGCTTATTTCATTTTATTTTTTTTCCATGATCAATTTTCAGCTCAAAAGAGGCTGACTCCAGGGAACTGCAAGGGTCACACTTCTGAAAGAAGTACAGATGACTCCAGGAGCCTTCTGGTGCCACAAGAGGAACTAGTGTTCATTCAAGAATCTGCATAAAAGAAAATAAAATTGCAAAACATCCTCAAAAAAAAAAAAGAAAGAAAGAAAGAAAGAAAGGAAAAAGAGTCTGAACAGAACAGAATGCAAAGGGTCGTCCTGTGAGGAACGAGCACAGTCTACACAGCAGCTTGTCCTAAGAATGGTCTGCAAAGGCCTGGGCTGCCCCTAAATCATCTGGCCTATGGGTGCCATGGGTGCCACAGTTCAGGATACAGGGACCAAATAGAGACTGGCTGAATAGGACCCATTGTGGTAGTTGGTTGGTTGGCAGCCTCCCCAACTGCTTGGTCTGCCAGTCGGTTTCCCCTACTGACAGGGTCGGTTCCTCTCTGGTGGCCCTTGCAGTGAATGACTGCCACCTGCTTCCAGACTGCCACAAGACATACACAACTCTACCTCTCTACTCCAGGGCTGGACACCAAACCCAACACTACTGCTCCAACAGGAGAGTGGCACAACCACAGATTTGGAGCAGCTTCCCAGTAAAGGCACTGGCGGGGGCTTAATTTTCTTCTGCATATCACCCCTCTCATATCCCAGGTTCCCAACACTTTTTTCTTGTTTTCTAGGTTATTTGTATCATCTATAAAAACAAATATTCCCCTGACGCAAGTGACTTGGGAAAACAGCATCATTGCTATGGGTTACAGGCAGTTGCAAAGAGTTACAAAGCGCAGAAGTTGCTATGGGTTATAGGCAACATTTATATAAAATAACATTTGTTGTTTATATAGACAAGCAAAAGAGAGAATGAGTATTTAGTTAATTTTGAGGTTACCCTGCCCCACAGCCTATGTGGCAAGCATATCGACAGAAGCAGAACAAAGAGCTGATTATAACGTTAGCCTTTTGAGTGAAAATTCTTCTTCATTCCCTCCTTTTGATGCACTTTAAATTCTTATAGGGCATCAACCCCTTGATTTTCTTGGCCTTGGGGCTGGTATAAGGGTAGTCCAGATGTCACAACCATTTGTAACTTTATGGATTCTAAGTGTGAGGAGACAAATTTGACAAGACAGTCCAGGATACAGGGACCAAATAAGAGCTATGAAGAGAATGAGGAGAGGTCCTGAAAGTGGAAAAATTTGACAAGACAGTTCAGGATACAGGGACCAAATAAGAGAGCTATGAAGAGAATGAGGAGAGGTCCTGAAAGTGGAAGAAGCCAGGATCCCCAATTCTATATTCTGGACCAGGGCCCCCGTGACTCGTTCAATTGGTGGCCGATTTTTGAGGCTCTATCTATAAGCCACTTGGCTGCATCTCTAGCTACACCAGATTGATTAACATAAAAACAACATTCTTCTTCTAAAAATAAGCATAACCCTCCCTTTTCGGCTTTTAGAAGATCAAGTCTCCTCTGGTTTTGTAAAACTACTCCTACTAAGGACTCTAATTGGCTTTGTAAAGTGACAATGCTTTTGGATATGTCTTCTAAGCTGTCAAATAGGACCTTAGATAAGCTTTGGTAATAAGACAGGCAGGAGGCTAGGCCAGCTATGCCAGTGTCTACCCCTGCGGCAATGCCAAGGCCTATAAGAAGGGGAATGAATTATATTGCTCGTTTGGTTCTTGTGTGTGTTAGAGGGATAGTCATACACTGGTGGTTGGAAGTGATGTTTATTTCAGAGGCCAAGTAAACCAGGGTACATGTCCCTGTCCAGTTAGCTGGGAGACAGAGATATGACTTGGTTCCACAAAGAAAGAATATACCTGGGGTTCCATGGCAAAAACTCATCTCAATAGTAAAAAGTCAATCATTTGGCCTTTTGCTCTTTTCAGATTCCAAGGTCAAAAGTATTCCTGCTAGAACTGCCCCTGTGAGGAGTTGGAGGGGTCCATAGGAATTATCCTGAGATGCTCCAGAGGTTCTGTTTTCCCAATGTAAAAAATTTCTCTTAGTATCTGTAAAGATCTATTCAATGAGGTTTTGCTAGTAAGAGTAGGCATTCTTCTTGGGAGGGTTCGGAGCAGAATTCCCAAGGAAAGACGCTTAAGCAATCATTTGGCTTCCCTTGACAGCAACCTGAATTTTTGTTTAGTAACCCTGTAGTCTTTGCGTTGGGTTTCCATGAGACTTGTACAGATTTCTTACATGGAGCAGCCTGTGCTACTTGGAAACTAGATCAGTCTTTTGAGGGTTCTATTTCTATAGTATAATTGCAATGAGAATCTTCAAGGGAGCCTAAATTTTGGCTCTGGCTCAAGTATTGACTTCTCTTGATACAAAGGGGTACCTGTAACTTAAGATTTGTATGAGTTGATATTGGTCTCCAAATCGGAGGCTCAGGAGAAGCTGCCCGAGTTAAGATGGTTCTGTAGGGCGTTAAGAGGTTAACTGCTCTTCCTGTCAGTGTACCTTTAGTCATGTCAGTGATTTGGAAATCAAATAAATTTTCTATATTTATCAGTTCAAACAGGCAGCCTCCCCGATACTTGGGGTGAAGGGTCATGTTACTTGTTGCCCAGTACCAGATGGGGATGAGGACAGCCAAGTAGCACGCAAAAGATGGAGATAGGCAGAACCAACAATCTTTAGCCAAGTCACTGTTCAAAGAGTTTGAGAGATGATAAGCTAAATTAAGCATCCTATATAAGTACTCGGTATCCATAATTCCCTTATAGGATGAGTTAATAGACACCATTATCTGAGTATAAAATCCTACTAGAATTAACAAAAGGAAGGATCTTCCTCATGATTATAACCAATGGCAGTTAGATAAATCCTCTAGAAATGTATTGAACAGGGGTTTAGCCTGAACATGCAAGAATTGAGAGGATCCTGACACAGGCCAAATAGGTCAGGGATGATAACAATACATCTGGACAGTCTGGACAGTTGATCCTCAAGTTTCTGTCATGCATAGACTAGTCAGCTTCTGGGGGTGGCCAGAGCAGAGCCCAAGGTCTCATGTGGATCTCTGCTGCCTCTGGAATGTGACTCGGAGAGGCTGATCAGGAAGAGGCTCTGCAGTCCACATCTCCCGTTCTTCCGGAGGTGTCGCTCTCTTTACCTGGGTGTGGTGGATCCACGGGATGACACCTGCAACCTTAACAGCAGTGGGAGTTGCTAATATAACAGTGTGAGGGCCTGTCCAGATCGGCTGGAGTGGCTCTTTCTTCCATTCCTTAACCCATACTTCATATCCTGGCCAATAGGGAGGGATCCAGTTCCCTAAGAGAATAAGGGCTCTTTCTAGGGTTTCCTGGGTAATGTGGCAGAGGATCCTCCCTAAGGCCTGAAGGTGTTGGGACGTTTCTAGGTCAGCTATAAGTCAAGGGTCTCCTTTTAGCTTCCCTATCACTGGGGGAGGTCTCCCATAAAGGATTTTAAAAAGGGAGTAGCCCGAAGATCTTGGGGTATAGCGTGCTTGGAGTAGAGCCAGAGGTGGCAAGTCAATCTAAAGTCACTGGGTTTCCTGACAAAGCTTAGCTAGAGTAGTCTT